AAAGACAGACTTTCCAAAGCAGCTAGACCATCTTACATTTCCAAAACAATGGATGTTTCCTTAAATAGGAAAAACATTATCATGCTTCCTTAAAGAGACCCAGAAGCTTCCAAAATAGGGTAAGCACAGAGTGTTGGAGGAAATTCCAGGAGGAGAATAGATTTACAGTTCCCATGGTGGGAACAGTACAAGGAAAGGTTCAAAGCCTGTCTCTGGCCCATCATTGTCACATTGCGTGGTCCCATAACTGATCCTACAGCTAAAGAAGAAAAGATCAATTCAGGTTCAATTATGGATTGTGCAATGGGCATTGTTCTTGATCAAAAAGTTGGTTTAAATTATCAAAACTTTGCCCATGATGAGAACCTAGATATAAGAGATTAATGTCTGGAGACTTTGTCATGTATGATACCACTTCTGCTCTGAATGCCCAACAGACTAAATTCATCTCCTGGAATTGCCACAGGCAACCATATTGCTCTTGATATCCTCTTAGCAGTCACGGGAGAATTTATGCTGTAACAAACACTACTTACTGCACCTAACAAATACAACAAAGCAAATAGAAAAGGCCACCTGACTCTAAAACAAACCAAACTAGATTCTGAGACACATTTTCATTGCCTGGATTTCATCATCTCAATCTCGTCTCTTGACTTCTAGACCTATTAAAAGAACCAGGAGTTATTTTGATTCTGGTAATTGCCTATATGACAATTGGCCAGTATAATCTGTCAGAATCTTAAGTGCCACTGCCCAGCAGTGTCACATCAGATGTTCCAATAATTCATCCTACAACAAAAGAAGAAAAGATTAATTCTGGTTCAATTACAGACTACATTCAGTGGGTGCTATTCTTGATTAGCAAATTGATTTTAATCAGCAAAATCTTGGCACTGATGAAAGCCTGGATATAATAGATTAATGTTCTCAGACCTAACTTTGTCCTTGACAAAAAAGGCAAACTGTGAAAGAACGGCCCCTGACAGCCAAAACTGATCTGAAGTTCACAGCTGATTATACACTGACCTGATGCTCACAGGCCATTTGATTCTCCTGCTCTGCAGTTCTCTTCTCACAGGACACCAATCTCAGACAAGGTCACTCTGCCAGCATGATAAAATGAAACAAAGGAAGGCCTCTTTGTAATTTTGGCTAGCACAGATAAAAGCATAGTCCCTGGGCTACCCATCAATAATCATAGAATTGTCCTGACTATCTCACAACATCCAATCGTGACCTGATCCCACTTCCCTAGGTCCTCCCCACAGCTCCTCCAACCAAAGCCTAAACCCTAAAATCATCTCTTTCTAACATCTTATTCTCTGTGGTGTGCCTTCCCCTCACTGCAATGAGGGATGAATCCCAACAGGTTAACTACAGGTATGATCCTGATGGAGTTTATTTACAAAAGTCCATACAAGCTATTTGTATGTTTTTCTTCATTTCTATAAAGCCAGCATCCTTATAGCCACACCCAGCTGAAGAAATGGAACGTTATCAAACCATCTCAGCAGCAGGCCACTAGTCCCACCTCAGTTACAACCCACTCCGTCCCTGCAAAAGTAACCCCTCTCCAAACTCGTGTGGGTGTGTGTGGGGGGGTGTTACTGGGGTTTGAACTCAGGGTCTCACACTTGCTGGGCAAGCACTCTCCACTTGAGCCACACCTCCAGCCCTTTTTTGCTTTAGTTTATTTTTTCAGATAGAATCTCATGCTTTTGCTCAGGACTGTTCTTGGACCTCAATTCTCCTACCTTTGTTTCCCACCTAGCTGTAATTACAGGTGGGAACCACCAAGCCCACCTTGCTTTTTTGAGGCAGGGTCTCCATAACTTTTACCCTGACTGGCATCAAACTGCAATCCTCCCATCTCTACCTCCCACGTATCTAGGATTATAGCTGTGTACTATTATGCCCAGTATTTTGGTGGGTTTTTTAGGGGGACAGGGTCTCACTATGTAGCCCAGACCAGCCTCAAACTCTCTATGCTGGCCTTGAATTCCCAATCCTCTTGCCACAACATCCTGAATGCTAGGATTACAGGCATGTACCACCACACCCAACTTCTCCAAACTCTTCTAGTCATCATTTCCTGTTCTTTACAGTTCTCTAAGGATACACTAGAGCTTAGTGTTGTTTATTTCTTAAAATTTCAACTGGCTTGTTAAGTCTCTTTTAAGCTACAGGTATCCCCTACATTCTTTTCCTTTTAATTTTTCTGTTGAAGAACTCAGGCCCTTTGACCCATATAGTTTCTAAAGTCAGATTTTACAGGCTGTACATTCACATCGTGGTTCAGCATGTCCCTCATCCTCTGTATTTGTCACACATCAGCATCTGGATCCAGAGGCTCAGTCGGTCTCTGGTTTAGTCCCTTTGATGATACTCTGTGATATGTTCCTCCATCAGAAGTCACATAATATTTGGCTTTCTCTTAAATATCTTATGGCCGGGTGCCAGTGGCTCACACCTGTAATCCTAGCTACTCAGGAAGCAGAGATCAGGAGGATCACAATTCAAGCCATTCTGGGCAAATAGTTCACAAGACCCTTTCTCTAAAAAAATCCTTCACAAAAAAGGGCTGGCGGAGTGGCTCAAGGTGTAGGCCCTGAGTCCAAACCCCAGTACTGCAAAAAAAAAAAAAAAAAAAGAAATCTTATGAACTCATGGGTTCAAATATATTTGGTGGATTTTAATCTGTGGCTATTATTTTAAAAATTATTGACACTGTCTTTGATAACTGAAGCCTCTTCAAACTGACTACAGAATGCCTTGATCCACTCCTGGTAGTCTTTGTAGCATCCTAACCATCTGACATGACCAAATAGCTCAAGCTTATCTTTTACAGCCCTTGACCCAGATTTGTAAACAGTTGTTTATCCCAAAAGCCCTGGATTGCGATCTGGCTATTAGGAAATAAGAATGCTCATTGACAGAGATCCTCCTATTTATGCTACCCTCCTAGCTGGAATGACAGTAGCCACCACACCCAGCTTTCATACTAGTTAAGACGGGGTCTCCTGAACTTTTTGCTCAGACTGGCCTCAAACCACGATCCTCCCAATCTCTGCCTCCTGAGTAGTTAGGATTATAGGCATGAACTACCATGCCTGTCACAAGTTATTTTATTTTTTGGCAGTCCCATGGTTTGAACTCAGGGCCTCATGCTTGCTGGGCAGGCACTCTACCATACCAGCCACTCAACCAGCCCACAAGTTATTTTCTAAGCAAGATATATATATGAGTGAGAGTAACTGGGCACCAGATTTCTCATCTCCACACTCAAAGAGGGTTGCTCCAGCTGATTGCAGCTTGTTCCTGTGGTTGGCCTGAACCTCTTGGTGAGCGGAAGCTCTCTCCCCCTGTCAGAAAGCATGGATGGCCACTGCTGTCACTACACAATGTTCAGGTAGAAGGCTGGGCTGAGGTGACACAAGGGAAGGGTCACATCCCAAGATGCATCTCCCCTTAGCCCTTTGGTGAGAGCAGTTCCTGGACATGTGGGTTATTTGCCACTGCCACTCTGTCATCCCAGCTGGACAGGGACTTTCAGCCTTGAAAAGTGGGTCACAGTCTGCTTATGGGAACCCCATAATCAAAGACCTTGTTCTCCATCAGTGGTTAGCCTCAGTTGTTCTAACAGAGCTATAACCTGAACCAGGTCATGAACAGTGAGGAGCAGGTTACACGTTCTAAGCTGAAACTCCCTCTTCCCCCAAAACTGTGATCTGATTCATCTGATGCTGTGAGCTGCTAGTGAGACTGCCTCTCATCCTTCCAGGAAGACTTAACTCAGATATCCCAAAGACCTTGGAACTTCTCCCAGCATCCCTTGCCCCACTCAGTCCCATCCCCAGCGCTGGACTCCACCTTCCCGTAGGCAGGTCTGATGTGTTTATGGGTCAGACCCTTCAATCAGATTGGGAGGCTCCTGAAAGCAGACACTGTTTTATTCACTTCATACCTCCAAAGATTACTTTCCATCAATGTGTGATAAGTTAGAGAGGGAGGGAAACCTTGAATGACAATCTTGATTTCTAAACAAACTGCCTGAAAGCAGTGCCTTCACCTCTTATTGGGACTTCTCTTTCCCCTTCCCCACAGGAAAATCCCACATAAGTTTGGGCCCAAGGGATACATGTAGATGAGTGATGGCTTCATCCAAGATTCAAAGGCTCTCCACCTGTAGGACTTCTAGATAATGTTTTTATTTAGCTCAGATAGCTGTTTTCTGTACATTTCTGAAAACTTGGGTTAGAATTTTCTCTGCTGCATTACATAAGTGGTTCTAAAACTCTTAGATATGATTAATACCCATGGGCAAGCACAATGCAGGCCAGAATAAAAAGGTCCTGTGTACAAACATTTTTTAAAAAACATCTAATGCAGAGTATACAAATGTGACTAAAATACAGGTAATTCCTTCATTCCAGCCCAGGTCCTCATGCCTGGAGAGTCGCAGTTCCTCTGCTTTCTGGTCCTCTTAAACACAAGTCTCACTCCCTCCTGGACAGGAACAGGGAGCCTTACAAGGTCAGGAGGCAGCCCTGTTTGCTCCAGTCTGGAGGTAGGGCAGACATGCCCAAGCACAGTATCTCAGACCCAAGTGGTCAGGTTGCTTGGCCAGTGCAAGTGGTGAGAACCCTTACTCCCCATTGTCAAAGAGACCAGATTGGCCCTGGCATCGCCTGCTTCAAGTGTTTCTCAAGCCCACCAGCTGCTGGACACAGGTGTTCCCAAAGAGCTTTTTTGAGGTGTTCAGAGGCACAAAGGCCTGCTAACCCTACCAGGCCTCCTAGCTCATGCTTAACTTCAGAAGGCTGTGTTGGCTCCTGTGGGGCCTCTGTTGTGCTCACTGTCTGTGGTCAGTGTGGAGAGGGTCAAGTCCAGGTTAGGGGGCAGGCATGACCTTTCAGCATCTGCGAGTTTCCGTGAAGTTTAGACCTGACTGGACCAGCCCCATGGACTGATGCACTGTCAGGCCAGGTGGACAGAGTCTATGCTCTAGGGCACTCAGGCCCAGAAAAGCGCAGCTGTGTTTGGAAGTACTCACAGGGAGGATGCTTTACACTTAGCCCATAGATGGGGGTCATGTCTACCTTCTTGCCTGGGAGTACACTGAATTCTACCTGCTGCAGCAGGATGGCAAGGAAGAGAAAGACCTCCAGGCGACCAATGTTCTCCCCAATGCACTTCCGCTTGCCCAGGCCAAAGAGAATGACCTTCTCACTCAGGGACTTGTCTAGAGTGCCATCAGGGGTGAGAAACCGCTCAGGCCGGAACTCTGATGGGTCACCCCACAGCTTCCTGCAAAGAGAGGGAGGCAGCTGAAGGAGCAGCTCTAGGGCTCAGAAGACCAACTGGGTTGAACCCCAAAGGACAAGAGGACCCAGCCCACCCAGGAGTTTCCACCGCCTCTCTTAACTTACTGGTCATGGTTGATCTGCCACTGGTTCACAAAGATACAGCGCCCCTTGGGGATGTAAAAGCCATTCACACTTGTGTCTTTTGTGGTGCTGGGGAGAGAGGAAGTTCAGCTAGCCTCAGAGCTACAAGGGAATCCCCTTGTCTTCCATGCATGTCCCTCCCACCAGATGGTGGATTAGAGTAAGGCTCAGATCTATGGGGCCTCACCTGTGGGGGATGGTGAAGGGGACGAAGGAGGTGTGTCGGAAGAGCTCCAGGATGAAGGCCTCCAGATAGGGCAGCTGGGATCTGTCAGAGAGCCGAGGCCTCCGCTCCCGGCCAATCACCGTGTCTACAGAACACAAAGGTCCAAATAGACTCAGAGGCTGCCCAGACTTGGCAGGGCCCCCTCCTAAAACCCTTTGAATGGAGCCACCACCTACCCAGCTCCTTCTGGATCTTTCTTTGTATGCTAGGATTCGTTACCAGGTACATGAGGCTCCAGGAGATGGCAGTGGTGACTGTGTCAAACCCTGGACAGGGCAGAACAGAAAGAGATATTAGGTCTATGGTAGGTTGGACCATTTGAGTGCAGGAAGGGCACACTGGGGTAGTGCATACCAGCCCCAAAGAGGTCCAAGGTAATAGCAATGATCTTCTCATCTGGGAGCTGAATATTGGCATTCTCATCCAGCCTCTTTTCCTGACAGTGCTCAATGAGGCTGTCTGTGATGTCCCGGATGTGGCCCTGGGTAGGAAAGACACACAGGTAAGCAAGATCCCAAGCCTACTCTCTTTTTTTTTTTTTTTTTTTGGTGGTACTGGGGCTTGAACTCAGGGCCTACAACTTGAGCCACTCCACTAGCCCTTTTTTGTGATGAGGTTTTTCAAGACAGGGTCTCGTGAACTATTTGCCCAGGCTGGCTTCGAGCCATAATCCTCCTGATCTCTGCCTCCTGAGTAGCTGAAATTACAGGCCTGAGCCACCAGTACCCAGCTAGTCCATCACTATTGCTAACACCTTTGCTCAAGAGGTGACACTTCTGAGGCTGCTGTCTCAGCTTCTCTCTGCCTCTCCAACTTCCTCTCCTACCTTAGAGCACTGGTGGCCTCAACTCAAGGGACATCAGACACACAGAGTCTGATACAGATATCTTCTGGATGTGCCCTTCTGGATGGTAGTTACCATGAGACCAGAGACAAACTCTTAAACTCTTTCTGGGCCTTGCAACTGGCCAAGGGTCCTGCAAGAAGTAGTTATTCAGTGCTCTTGTCTGATGGAAACATAGATGGGCAAGTTAAGAAAAAGCTCTATTTCCTAGGACAAATGTGGTAGCTCACACCTGTTATTTCAAAAAATAAGCCAGGAATGGTGGCACATGTTTGTGGTCTCAGTTATGTGTGAGGCCATAGGTAGGTGGATCATGATCTGAGGCTAGCCCTGGGCAAAAACCTGACACCCTTCCTGAAAAGTGACTAAAAAGGCAAAAAAGGGCTGGGGGTACGACTAAAGTGGTAGAGTGTCTAGCCAGAGCTAAGCCCTGGGTTCAAATGAAAGGATGCCAGTGGCTCACACCTGTAATCCTAGCTACTCAGGAGGCAGAGATCAGGAGGATCACGGTTTGAAGCCAGCCTAAGCAAGTAGCTCATGAGACCCTATCTCAAAAAAACCCATCACAAAGAAGGGCTGGTAGAGTGGCTCAAGGTGTAGACCCTGAGTTCAAACCCCAATGCTGCAAAAAAAAAAAAAGGATGGCTGGATGGAAGAGAAAGAAAGAAGGAAGGAAGGAAGGAAGGAAAGAAGGAAAGAAAGGTTCTATTTCCTTGCCTTGCCAAGGATGGACAAGGGCGGAGCCACTACTGGCTTCAGATTTGTCTCTGACCTCTCAGTCCCTGACCCTAGCTTCCCACCAGCCACCTGCCTCTCCCAGTCTGTACCTTCTCATATGTTCTGTAGTGATCCTTGATTATCTTCTGCACGAACCTGTAGAATTTCTCATTCAGGTCCTTGAAGACTTTCAGGGAAGGGTTGGGCAAGTAGCGGAGGATAGGGATGAAGTCGGCTGGGAATCCAGAGGCAGTCACCTCCCCAAACTCATGACTCAGGCTGACTAAACTAAACAACTCTTGGTCATCGTGGTCATAGCGCTGACCAAAACACATGGCACAGATGATGTTGGTCACTGACACCACCACATATCTGCAGGGGTCGAAGTGCCCAGCCTCTGCCATCACCTGCTGAAACTTGCTGATTAGGGACTCAGCCTCCTTGGTCACATGCTCCTCCAAGTAGCAAGAGGATGCAGAAGCTGGGCTCAAGGCAGTGGAGAAACTCTTCAGGGCATTCTGGGCCAGGCGCCTGCGGGCAACCCACACTGGCCCACTGTCTGGGTTGAAGGTCATGCTATCACCATTGCCAACTAAAGTGAAGCTGTAGAGGTCTGGCCGGCCCTTGAAATCATCCCCCTGCTTCACTAGGGCCTGCCGGATGGTGTCCAGGCCACTCAGTACCACCACGGGTGTGGAGCCAATTCGAATCTGCAGCACATCCCCATAGTGCTGGCTCAGCTTGGCCAGTGTCAGGTGTGGGTTCTTCCCCAGGGTAAACACGTGCCCAATCAGGGGCCAGCCCCAGGGTCCTGGTGGACTCTTGAGACCTTTGGGGACCTGGTGCCTTGAGGCTCTGACCACCCATAGCACCAGGCAGAAGACAGTAGCAGTCAGGAGCAACTCCATGGCTGAGACAGGGACTAGGAGTCCATACACAGAAAGCATGTTCAGTGTAGAGAGCTTTGAGGTGGCTGCTGAGAGACTGGGCAAGAAGAAAAAAAAACAAGCCATCAGATGGAGGATGGAAGGAGCCAATATCCAATAATATCAGCATGCAAGTCCAGGAAAAGAGAAAACTTCCACTCTGAACTGCTCACTGGGCACAAAGGGGAGGAGGAGGTGGCAGGCAAAAGTTCTTTGTTGAGCTGCCACTCTGTGCCAAGAATTTCAGTCATTTCTCATTCAGTCCTAGCCACAAGCCTGTGATGAAGGCTGTAGTGAGGCTCAGAGAGGGTAAGTAACATGCTCAAGATCACAGTCAGGGAATATTCAATAGACTCTGAACCCAAGTTGCCCAATTTCAGAACACCTTATCTTCTTTTTTTCTTTTTTTTTGGTGATACTGGGGTTTGAACTCAGGGCCTCATGCTTGGTAGGCAGGAGCTCTACCACTTGAGCCACTCTGCCAACCCTTTTTTTGTGTTGGATATTTTCCAGATAGGAGCTCATTGACTATTTGCCCAGGCTAGTCTCCAACAGCTATCCTCTTGATCTCTGCCTCCCGAGTAACTAGGATTATTACAGGTGTGACCCACTGGCACCCAGCTAAAACACCTTCTCTTACTGCTGTACCAATCTAAAATAGCAACTTCCAATCTCAGTCTGTGATTTCCTTCAGCATCAGTTTGGTCATTTACTTCACATCTTCCTAAACTCAGCTTTAAATCCACCCAGGTATCATTACCCTAAAATTGTATGAAACAACCCAACACATCCAAATAAACACATAATCGAACATGTGTCACCCCAAGTCCCTTTGAGTCCTGCCCACCACATTTAAGAAAACTATGCTCTCAGGAATTAGGGATCATCCACTTCTTTGGACTCATTTCATATTTGGGCAAACTGACCTCCAGAGGGGGTAATGACTTCCCCAAAGTCACCCAGCAATCAGTGACAGAACCAGGGCTCAGAGCTCTGATGGAAAGTTCTCTGGAGGAAGTGTCCAGCTGTTATCACAAACACCTCCCTTTGAAGATCAATGACAGAATTTTTCTAGAACCCACAGTTCTCTAGGGTTGAATCCCAGAATCTAGGGAATAACACCAAACCCTAGTACACAGTAAGACAGAAACAGGAAGGCCACACTGCCCAAGCTACACTGCTCCCAGCTCCAGCTGTCTGAGTTAAATTGACCCTTAGTTTAAAAGCAGCTAGAGACCAGCTAAATAGGGCTCCTAGTAGCAGAAATCCAGGCCAGGTTTTTGTTGTGCTCATTTCTCAATGAATGAATAGTTTAGGCCTACCCTCTTTTGCAGGTCCCCAGGGAGCAGAGAGTAAATGAAAGATGCCCATCAAGCCATGGCTGTAAGAAAACTCCAGACTGGAATACAGGAAATAAGGAATGGATTGGAACAGAAGCTGAGCTGAGACGTTGGCGCTAGGCTTGAAGGTGTACCAATCATGGGCCACTGGACTAGAAGTCAGAACTGGTTATTTTACCTTTCTGGACTCCAATTACACAACCTAAGAGAGAGGCTGGGACAGGATCTCCTAATTCAGAGTGCCCTGCCTAATCCTACAGAGACCCAAATGTACCCTGGTGATCCTGACAGTCTTACCAGCGAGGTTTCCCCACAGGGAACCACACAAGACAAGGAAATGTATGGCTCCTACCTCAAATCCTACAGCTGCCTCAGAGAGAGAGGAAGGCTTCCTGGAGGAGCAGAGTCCCAAAGCACAACAGATCCCTGGTTCCCTGAGTGAACCAGGGTGTGTCAGCCTTGGTGTGCCATGGTGTCCCCTTCCACACCATGAGTGCCCAAAGAACCTCCAGCCTATATACGATGGTAAGAAGCCAAGGGAAATGTGCCTGATGAGTTTTCCGGGGCTGGTGTTTCCAGCTCCCTGCAGCAGACAGTCTGCCACACTGATGGTCTCCCAGCAAAGGATAGAGAAGACAGTGAGTGGGATGGGGAAGCCCCTAGGTAGTGCCCAGGCTCCTGCTCTGATCAGCCTCTCTTGTCTGGTCCAGGACCTCTCATTTCTGACGAGTCACTTTTTGAGAGGGCAGAGGCCACTTGAAGCAGCTTTAAGATAGGGAAAAGTACAGCTAGAAAGAATCCAGTCCATTCCCTCCATCCAATACCTGCCCACCCAGGGGAAGCATCCCACCATGCAACCAGCAGCTGCGCTCAAGTTGTCCCATCAGGCAGCCCTGATGGGGAAACCCCAAGATGGTCAGGAAGTTGATGGAGATTTAAGCTGGAGCCTGGGTCCTGGAGTCCTGAAAGGGAGGGTAGAGGCATCTATAGCTAGAGATCTGATACCAGCTACTGGACCTTGGGCAAGTCCTGTTCTTCTGCTGGCCACCAAAGACGCTCTTTTTGGAAGAGCTAGGCCAGTGGCTACCTAGGAAAACCTACAGTTACCAAAAATGTTCCTTTAATTGGGGCAAGCTCAAAGTCCCCCAGCACTCACCTGTGGCTGTGAGAAGGTGCTGAGCTGAGAATGATCTCTGGGGCCAGGGACCCCCAAAGAGGATCAGAAAGGCTCCAAGTCACCTTCAGGGTGAGAGTGAAGGCACCACCACCTTTATAGGAGGCTGTGCGTGTGGCCACGCCCCCTTTCCTGGAGCGTGGTGATGGGACAGGGGGAGGGGCGGCATGTGGGACGAAAGAGGGGGAAAAGGGAGGGGGCTCATAGCTCTAGGAAAAAGAAGGGGGTTGGAGATAGGCAAGAACCCACTATGGGACAACTTATCTAGGCGCCGATATGTAAAAGGGTGACAGTTTGGGACACCTGGGACGCCTCACTTCCAAGCACTCCAGGGACAGCAAAGAACCCAGCTGAGAGAGGGGATTGAGGGAGAAGTCCCAAGACAGTCCAAGAGAGGACATGAGGAGGACCCCATTCCCGGGGCACGCAAACGCCTCTTTATTTTTGCATCCACCAGAACACGGTGTGTACAGGTGCCTGTCCCCCACGACACACCAGTGAGTGCCAGACGGGGGCAGGTTTGCTTGGTGGCGACCTCCTCTCCGCCAACATGAGTTACTGAGTCCCGGCTTGCGTGAGAATCGCAGCGACCCCAGCCCTGAGGTCACCGGCCGGAAGGCCAGAGGCGCCATAAGACTGGCCTTCTCCCCCAGAGCCCGGGCCATGAGACCACGGGCAGGAGTGGGAGGCAGACGTACAGTGTACCCGAGCGCTCAGTACTGGCGCAGCGCAGCGCCGCTTCTAGGGTCACCTTAGGCGTGCTGCCACCTAGGGACCCCTCCGCCCGGGACCCTCCCGGCCCAGGGCTGCTGGCATTTTGGGTTGGCGAGGCAGAGAAATCGGGCGGCGGGTGGGGATGCATGCACGGCTAGGTGCGGATGGCGGAGGATAGGACGGTCCAAGGAGGCAGCGGGAGGGAGCCCGGGGTCACCAAGGGGCGCCTGACGCGCAGGCTCCCCGACTGCTTGCGTGCGCCTGCTGCTTCTCCCCGGGGGCAGAGGTCGGGCGGCCCATCCCCGCCCCACCTGGCCGGGGGCGCGGTGCCCGGGAGTTGCGTGAGAAGCGTCCGGAGGCCCGCGCAGCCACCCAGCGGCCCCACTCCCCCGCCGGGCGCGGGTCCCAGCGAAGTCACGCTAGGGATGGGGGTGGGGGGAGTCGGGGGCGCGGCTCTTAAAGGGCCAGTCTCTGGCTGGGCGTCTGGGTGGGGGTGGGAGTGGAGGGGTAGGAGCCGACCGAGCAAATCAAGCGAGCCCTTGGATGTGGGGGGAGGGGAGCGGTGCAAAGGGCCAGGCTTGCGTGCGGAACTCGGCTTCTGCCTGCTGGCGAAGGCCTGCGCGTGTCCACATTTTTGGGTCCACGCCTGTGGCAGGACACGCAGCCCTGCGCCGCCCGGCACGCCTGGCTGTCTGCCTCCGAGGCTGTCTCCACCCCTGCCGAGCTCTCCCAGTGTAAGTGATCCAGGGAGAAAACCTATATTTGCGTGTCTAGCTCAACCAGTCCCGAGCTGTCATCAGCTGCCCTTCCTGAGCTGCTCCTGAACCCAGAAAACAACCACATTCACCCTCCTCACCTCCCACTCCTGTCAGATGCCTCCCCATGCATTGCACAAATATTTACCAACCACCTGCTGTGTGCTAGGCACTGGCAATTGATGCAGAAGCGAACAAAAACTGACAAAGGCTTTTTCTTTCTTTGGTGGTAGTGGGGTTTGAACTCAGGGGTCTCACACTTGTTAGGCAGGCACTCTACCACTTGAGCCACTTCGCTAACCCTTTCTTGTGTTGGGTACTTTTAAAGTAGGGTCTGGCGAACTGTTTGAGTGTCCTGGAACCTTGATCCTCCTGATCTCTGCCTCCCAAGTAACTAGGATTACAGGGGTGGGCCACCTGCGCCTAGAGAGGACGGCTCCTTTGATGGAGCTTGCATTCTGATGGGAGGAGATAAACAGTAAGCAACAAAATGCAGAGAATGGCAAAGGATACAAAGTACTATGGAAAGAATTAGGCAGCCAGGCACAGGTGGCTCACGACTGTAATCCCAACTACTGACAAGGCAGACATTAGGAAGATCATGATAAAAGGCCAGCCAGGGCAAAAAGTTAGCAACACCCCATCTCAACCAATTAGGTGGGTGTGATGGGAAGTGCCTGTCGTTACAGCTATACAGATTACAGTCCAGGCCTGCCTGGGCAAAAATGAGTAACTAAAAAGAAAATAAGTAAATAGAAATAAAAAAGTGCTGGGGCATGGGTCAAGTGGTAGAGTGCCTGCCCAGCATGTTCAAACCTCAGTACTGCCAAAAAAAAAAAAAGCACATTCTAGTTAAGTTTAAATATTTTTTTTAGCAGTGCTAGGGTTTGAACTCAGGATCTCACACTTGCTAGGTAAGCACACCACTTGAGCCATTCTGCCAGCCCTCTAGTTAAGTTTAGAATCTTTAGCTTTCTGTCGTCTTTCAAAATATTTGCCAGATATAATGTTCAGAACTGTGTAAAAGTTAACACCCAA